TTAGTGGGAGATAAGTTGGATAGTAAATCCGACTTGTGCTATTTTGTGGGGTATCCCGAAGACTCAATGGGATACGAGTTTTATTATGTCAAAGAAGCAAAGACGTTTGTTTCAAGAAATGCCACCTTTTTGGAAAGGGAATTTCTATCCGATAGAAAGGGCAGCATGATAGAACTTGAAGTAGTTCAAGAACCACAAAGTGAAGTTCAAACACAAGATAAAGCAATCGAACCAATACAACAAACCACTAATATACCTCCTGAACCTACGGTACGTAGATCCGAAAGAGTTCGGTAAATGCCGGATAGGTTATTCCTCCTCGAAAATGATGAAGATCATGTTGATCTTGGACGAGATCCAAGAACATACAATGAGGCCGTATCGGATGCGGACATGGGACATTGGCTAACTGCCATGAAATCCGAAATGGACTCCATGTACTCCAACAAGGTGTGGACCTTGGTAGATCCACCTAAGGGAATCGTTCCTATAGGCTGCAAGTGGATCTATAAGAAGAAAATTGGAGTGGATGGAAAGGTATCGACCTATAAAGCTAGATTGGTAGCGAAAGGATACACTCAAAGGCAAGGCGTTGACTATGAGGAAACTTTTTCGCCAGTCGCGATGCTGAAGTCCATTAGGATTTTGCTAGCCATAGCTGCGTGGTACGACTACGAGATATGGCAAATGGATGTGAAGACCGCCTTCCTTAATGGAGACATTGAGGAAGAGATTTACATGGCGCAGCCGGAAGGCTTCATATCTTCTGGAAGTGAGCAAAAGGTTTGCAAGCTCCAGCGATCCATTTATGGATTGAAGCAAGCATCCCGTAGTTGGAACATTAGATTCGACTCAACTATCAAAGAGTTTGATTTTGAGAAGAATCCGGAGGAACCTTGTGTATACAAGAAGGTTAGTGGGAGGGCAGTGATATTTTTAGTGCTTTACGTTGATGACATTCTACTCATTGGGAATGACGTAGGAATGTTACAGCAAACGAAAGCATGGTTGTCCACACGTTTCTCAATGAAGGATTTGGGAGAAGCATCTTATGTATTAGGAATACGCATCTATAGAGATAGAGCAAGAAAGATGCTTGGCTTATCCCAAAGCCTGTACATAGACACCGTTATGAAACGGTTTAGCATGGAAGAATCCAAGAAGGGATTCTTGCCAATGTCCCATGGGGTTCGTCTCTCGAAATCTATGTGTCCCCAAACACCTAGTGAAATCGAGGAGATGAAAAGGACGCCCTATGCTTCTGCCATAGGAAGCATAATGTATGGCATGCTATGTACGAGACCCGATATTGCGTATGCTGTGAGTGTCACAAGCAGATATCAGTCTAACCCCGGCCCGGCTCACTGGAAAGCCGTGAAAGATATCCTCAAGTACTTGCGAAGGACTAAGGATATATTTTTGGTCTATGGGGGTGCCGAGTTGAAATTAGAGGGTTTCACTGACTCTAGTTTTCAATCGGACGTGGACGACTTAAAGTCGAATTCTGGATTTATATTCACGCTTAATGGTGGTGCCGTGTGTTGGAAGAGTTCCAAGCAAAGCACGACGGCCGATTCCACTACCGAAGCGGAATACATTGCAGCGTCCGAAGCTGCAAAGGAAGGGACTTGGATAAGGATATTCATCCAAGAGTTGGGTGTCATTCCTGATGCTAGTGATCCAGTACCGTTGTACTGTGATAACACCGGAGCCGTGGCGCAAGCTAAGGAGCCACGATCTCATCAGAAGTCGAAGCATATTCTGAGGAAGTATCACGTGATCCGAGAGATCATTGATAGAGGTGAAGTTAAGGTAGAACGAGTCACCTCGGAAGAGAACGTTGCAGACCCCTTCACGAAGCCTTTACCAAGATCGGTCCATGAGAAACATCGAGAGTCGATGGGATTGCGGTTTATGGGTAGTTGGCTTTAGGTCAAGTGGGAGATTGTTAGAGTAGGTGACCAACAAGCCAACTTGTGGCTGTGGTCTTTCGTATTTATTATTGTAATAAACGAACCTTTATTCGTATTAATGATAAAACACATTGGCATTCTATATCTTTGTCCCTTTGTCACAAGCATAGATATAGTCCTTACAGTTATTACAAGTACTAGTAATTGATCGTTAGGATCGTGAGATATTTACTTAAGTATTATAACTGTTAAACGTGTTCCTAGTCGAAGGGTTACGCCACCAATGAGGATATCGGCCTTTCCCATTAGAAGACTAGCACTTAGTGTATGTGTACTGCATCTCATCAGTAAACGGTATTGTGATATCGGCATGCATAAGTGGGTGCTCGTAAGTTGACGAGTTCACTGAACTCCCTCACCCTAGAAATCTCTAAGTGGTTCCCAATAATCGAGTAGAGATATCTATGGTATAGTTGTACACCATTAGTCCTTATGACCTAGACATCACCGTGACTTCACTAGAGGACCAGCTGTATCGTGACCTGTCCCTGAGTTCCACCGAGGACCATCCCAAGGGCCAGTGTTCGTGCAGTCCGAAATCTAGTGGGAGGTCTGTGCATTGTAGTCGGGGATTCGATCGCTAGAATAGTCTTGGATGTCCTGTGTGTTCTGAAAGTTTGTAATCATTCTAAGTCTCTGGCCAGAGCTGACTAAGTGATGATTAGAGAATTCGATTCTCTGAGTCATGCACGTAAGGATTACAACACTTAGAACGATCGCACCGTCATCGAACATATAAAGAGGTCTCGATGAACCAATGCCTCTAGTTCGATCGGGACATATGTATCGAAGGGACCGTACTGTACGTTAACTATATCTGAAGGTTCTTGCAGGCACTTCATTTGTATCTAGGGAATCATGACGCGTAGTTGCTAGACGCCAATCTTGATTCGTTGGGTGATTAAGGTGAAACGAGCTTCATCTTAATCGTAACTCGAAGGGGACGAGTTTTGACCACAATGGGTTGTGGGCCCACGGCTAGCTTACACCTGAACCATCGAGGGTCACACTGCTCGTGCACATGAGATCTTTGAATAAACGGTCAGAGATAAAATAGTTTGTCTTTGCATGATTGGAAGTCAATATGATTGAATCCAACATTCGTAATTTGGAATTACGAATGAGAATAAGAAAAGGAAAAGAATAGGCGAACGTGTTAGTGAACTTTCTAAATCGGGAAGTTTCCAAATTTAGAAAGTCCACTGAACTAGGGTTTCCACTTTTGGAAAGTTGGAAAATAAGAGATGGCACTCGTAATGACGAGAAAATTATAATGACTCGGAAAATGTAATCGTTACAATTTTTCGATCATTGAATTGAGAGATACGAGCGATTAAAGAAACTAACGAGCTTAAGCTGTTGGGCCCAGTCCAACTTAAGCCCGCTAGGGTTTCATGCAAGGGACTATAAATACATGATTTATAACCCTAGCACACATAACAAAAAACCCTAACCCTAAGCGGCCGACCCCTCTCTCTCTCGCCCCCTCTCCCGCGCGGCCACCTCCGCCGTTGGCGCCGCCCCGTCGCCGGAATCGGCCATCCCTTGGCCGATCCATTTCGGTATTCTTTTCTCCTTTCTTTTTCTTCCGTTAATTCTAACTACTTCGTGTCTAGTGCCACGTTTTAGTAGATCGAAGTATACGAGGTGAAATCCGAGAGGAGGAAGACCGTAGATCGAAGAATCGAGGAGCAACGCACGAGCCGAAGCTGCACGCTGCCCCACGCGCCGCCCCGGAAGACAGCGCGTGCTCTACACGCGCCGCCGTGAGCTGCCACACCGCCGCTGCTGCTGCTCCATTGCTGCCCCGATTCTACGGATTGGTTTCCGTAGTAATCACGACGTATCGTTCACTCCTACCTCACGCGTCAAGAGGTAAATACTCGAAACCCTAGTTTCGTTTTAGGGTTTAAATTTAAACTATGATTTCATGCTTATGTTTGTATGATTATATGTGATTATGTGTAATCGATTAAATCGTTGCAAGCATGTTATTTGGTTTAAATGCGAGCATGTTAATTGATTTAAATTCGGTTAAATTTATTAGCATGTATGTTGTTTTTAATTTCGCTGGAAGCGCAAAGGTACGCAATTAATTGATTTAATTTATCGGGCATGTACTTGTGTGTTTTAAAGTCGTTTAAATCACGTAAAATTTTTGTTTTCCGCTGCGTATACGTGCCCGAAACCCAACATATGTGTGTGTGTGAAAAGTGTGTGTGTGAATATGTGTAATTGTGAAACATGAGATATTAAATCACATAAGTTGATATATTAAACTCTAAAAGTTGAGATATTCAACATCATAAGTTGAATTAAAGATGCAATGAATCCATGTGGATCCAATCCGGATCGGTCTAAACTCGATCCACATTAAATCCATTCATGTAGGTTGATATTGGATCCGGTTCCTTTTGCATTCGATCCACATGGATCCGGATCGGATCCGGTCCAAGTTGAGAAATTGCCACCCCTACAATAAACTAACGATTAGTCCTAAATTAATCGATAAAGTTACTCTCTTTTACGATATTCGTCGTCTAATACTTTGATTTCTAGAGATATCGTAAAACAATACTTTGTAATAGAAATAAAAACATTATAAGTGTTAAATAGAACTTTTGTACCGAAAATAGGTATTCGTGTTTAATTATTCTCGTAAATACTTGCGATGTCTGGTGATCATATAAATAACCTTATATTATATAATAAGTTTATTTTTTAAAATTAGCGTAATTAGTTAGAATTATGAGTTTTATATGATTGGAATAAAAAAAATATTAATTTGTTTCTACCATCATTCACATTAAATAAGAAAAAAAAGAAAAATTTAAGATTTATTATATTAAGAAACACAAACTTAGCTCCACATTTTTCATTAATTCAAATGGGTAAAAAGTATCATCACCCTTACATGTATTATATTATTATACATTCAACAAATAGAAGAGAGCATTTTATTCTACTAAGCTAATAATTATTAATTATTCAACGTCGATTTTCGCCCGGACTCGACAAATCAAGAAATTAAACGTTGACGTTGGAGCGATAGTTCTGGCCTTTAGACCAATTAGCAGGGATTACATTGTTCGCAATTGCGGTTTTCTGCGACTCGATTGTGGTCACTTTCACGGAATAAGGACCGCTTACTCCCTCGGGTATCCCGACACTCCAAGTAGCACCCCACGATTGTTTCATGGATAACCATCCGTTCGAATTGCTTGACGAGATTGCGGCCGAACCAATATCTCCGTCTCCGTTCACAAATTCAATTGCAAAAGCTAGATAGTTAACGTTCGATCCTTTGTCGATCTTGAATTGTATGCCGATGTTACTATAAGTGCATTGCACCCTGCAACCAAAAAATATTAATTTTTTTTTATTATTTTATATAATGAACTATATTAAATATTGAGATAGTGTGAGATTCATTTTTTTTTTTATTTTTTTGGGATTTTTTTTTTACCTAAAGAAAATTGAATATAATTATATTTAAAACATGAGATAGGGGTTCGTTCTTGCCTTTGGTATTCAATATCGATTCGACCCAATTTCCTCATCGGGTCGGCTTGACCCGGATTGGCTAAAGCACCGAAAGCTATACCACTTAGGTCGAAGTGAAATGCTTCGTTGTTGCATGTACCCGGGCATTCATTTGTGACCGTTACGGTAACTGGATTTTCTGAGCACAACGAATTTGTTGCTTTTGTGCATTTGACCTGAAATAGATAAATATACGTAAATAAGTGATCGCTTTAAAAATAACGATATATATAATTAAATATTTGAGGGTTTAAATTTCAAACTCGTGATAAAGAAATATTATAATCTTAAATTTTGGATATATTTTTATATCATAAAATTTAAATCAATATTGTAGTGAAAATAATTTATTAATTAACATCAATTATAAAAAATAAAAATAATAATAATAATTAAATTAACATACCTGATAACAAACCCCACAACCCTTTCCAGATTGGAATATATTTCTATTTCCTGCAGCTGTCATGCCATTGTATGGAGCATATGCCACGTCATTTTCAAATCCACAAGCTCCCCCTGCAATATATATATATGCTCAATATTGCAAGTATTACATATACTTCTTATTTATTTATCATTTTTATTTAAGCAAAATTTAAAAAAGATTAAATTGGTGTTTGTAAAAGTTTTTTATGAAGCAGAAGTTAATGAGTGTGAGTGAATTTTTGAATAATTGCTAGATTAAAAGTTGGATGTGTTTGCAAATGTTGTGAGTTAATATATAAGTTGATGTGTATTTAAAATAAACTTTAATTTTTAATTGATTTTAGTAAAATGTCTTAAAATGCCCAAAAGTTGGATATAAGGGCTAATTACGGTCACCCCTGATGTAAGATCGAATTAAAATTTAAAATAAAAAACTTAACTACCCCTTTTAATTATGTATTGTCTTACGAAAATCCCTCATTCAGTAGGTAAACGACACTGTAAAGGTAGACATATAAGACAATATATAATTGATGGACGATTGTAATTGTCCAAACAAAAATGATTTTTTTTCTTAATTTAACCTTACGTTAGGGGTGGCCGTAATTTGTCCCAAAAATAATAAAAGTACGCCGTAGACGTTTAAAAGAACTTTAAGGCAAAAACAATGTTGCATGTAAGATATTCCTGAAATTATGTCTTAAGACAACTTATAATTTCAAGAAATATTATTTTTGCAAATGCTAAAAAAAAAATTAAAAAAAAATAAAAAAAATTTATAATTGTTTTTACCACTTCCAGGTCCTGTGGGGCTATCGTACCATGTAGCAACTCCAGCTGAAAAACCACCACCTAAAGTACCATTTATTATTTGTGAAGCCATGCATACACAATTATTTAATTGGATAAATAAAATAGCTATTATTGTAAATAAATTAAAAATTCGAAACAATTGAGAAGTAAACATTGCCATGGTATATTGACTTTGAGAAACCAATACTATTACTATATTATATATTAAAAAATATAAAATGTAAATGAAATAGTTTGGTGCCTTTGATCCATGTCTTGCCTTGATTTATATACTGTTTAGAATTTTAATTGTTACCTTTCTTTAAATTAATAAAAATAATAATAGTTACCATATATCTGATTAAATTAAATTAATCTAGTAAATATTTAAATATTTTGGATATCAAGATAAATGAATAATCGTAACTTACTATATATTCAGTAATGCTTGCAATTTTTCGGAAAAAGTGGGAAGTAATATATAGCTTGAATTTTTTTAAAATTACTATGTATTTGCTTACTTTATTTAAAAAAAATTAAAAAAGTATGCGGCCGAAAATATAATTTATTTTGACTTAAAATATGGAAAGAAAGTTGGATGTTCATAATATATTTTCAAGTTCCATGTAACATGATTAGTTGTTTATTGGGTTATAGTTGGACGGGTTCAATTTGTTCGACCCGATATTTCATACTTTTTTTATAGTTTAATTATTTATATATAATTTTAAGCCAGTAAACTAATAAAAATACATTTATGAAACATAAAATATCATGTATTAATTTGTATACTTCAATTCCAGAATAAAATTGAAATAAAATATTATTATTCCAGAATTATTTGAATAAATAAATGTAATTAGAAAACCAGAATTAATCAATATACTATCGTCTATACCAATCAAAAGCGTAACATTATATATATATATATATATATATATATATATATATATATATATATATATATATATATATATATATATATATATATATATATATATATATATATATTTGCCGTGTTGACGCTAACTTTTTTTTATATTGAGTTAAGTAATATTATTATTTTTTATTTTTTTCGACTTTTTTTATCTTTTTGAAACCATGTTACTGAGGTTTTTTGATTGTTAATTAATTAATTTGATTGGGGTGATGAAGTAAAATGTAGTATATGTTAGAAGATGCAAGTGTGTGCTCTGAAAATCGGAAAAGTATGAATAGCGCAATGGAGTTTCGCGTTCGTTATGTGTGTGAATATGAAGTATCCGACTATTGTACCAGTGAAAACTACCTTGACATAGCACCGTAAACTGTCCAAAAATAATGTTTTAAGGGCATTGAATATTATTAGCAATCAAATAAGTGTTTACTTAATTATTTTTATAAATACTTTATTGAAGTCACGAGTAAATACACCATCACCCGATTTAGTCTTCATCGGGTGTAGAATAGAAATAATCACCCTTAGACTATTCAACCCCAAGGGGAGCATTTTATTCTACCAACATCTAAAACATCCATGCTATAAAAATGAAAATAAAATATTAATGACCTAATTAAAATACATGAAAAAAAAGACATCTCGATTTACGTTTAGTCCGATGCATGGATTCGTAATCAAGGAACGTTAACTCTCGAGTGATAAGACTGTCCCGGAACCCAATTACCAGGGATCACTTTATACGCAAGTACTGTTTTCTTCGACTCGATTGTGGTAAGCCTCACGGAGTAAGGACCGCTTATCCCAACGGGTAATCCAACGGCCCAAGTTTCACCCCACGATTGCTTCATGGACAACCATCCTTTGGAATTGTCCGACAATATCTCGAGGGAACCAATATCGCCGTCTCCATTCACGTATTCTACAGCAAATGCTAGGTAGTTAGGGTTCGAACCCGAGTCGATCTTGAATGTTATATTGGTCCCATTGTAGTTGCATAAAACCCTGCGAAAAGAAAAACAAAAAAAAAAACAAAAAAAAAAAAACATATATTATAAGGAAAATAATTTTTTTTTTAAATAGAATCGAGAATTACGATAGATAGATTTATTTTCTTGCCTTTGGTATTGGATATTGATTCTGCCCCATTTCCTTAACGGGTCAGCTTGACCCGGTTTGGCTAAAGCTCCGAAAGCTTTCCCGCTCAAATCGAAGTGGAATGCTTCATTGTTGCACGTACCGGGGCATTCGTTTGTGACCGTTACAGTAACTGGATTTCCCGAGCACAAGGGATTTTCTGTACATTTCACCTGAAAAAAAACAAATTATTAAAAAAATTTAATCCAAAATTTTAAATCTATTTTTAATAAAATTTAACCAATTTATAGTGGAAATTGTTTAATTAACATCAATTGTGAAAGAAAAAAATTAATTTAAATTAAATTAACATACCTGATAACATGCCCCACAACCCTTTCCAGATTGGAATATATTTTGATTCCCTGCAGCCGTCATGCCATTGTATGGAGGATATGCCACGTCATTATCAAATCCACAAGCTCCCCCTGCAATACACATGCTCGAAATTATAAGTATATATACATATATTTTACTTATTTAATCTTAGAATGTAATATAATTCAATTTTTTATTTATTATTTCATTTTAGCAAAACTTGAAAATATTAAGGTGGTGTGTAGTAGACATCATTAAAAAAAATCACCTTTAAGCAATTGATTTATAAGTAATTAGTGTATTTTAAAAAAAGGGAAAACTACAGGTTTCATCCATTAACTTTTTCACTAATTTCACATTTGGTCCCTCATATTTCAAAATTAAACATTTTTAGTCATTTCCATCAATTTTCCGTTAAAACTTACGGAATCAAGTCTGTGCTCATCACTGTCTTAACAGACGGAGTAATAGTAAATTTACGAAAATGACCAAAAGTGATTATTGAAACACGAGGGACGAAATGTGTTGTTTCGTAAACATGAGGATCAAATGTAAAATATGGACGAACTTAAAGGATGAAAACTGTAATTTTCCCGAAATAAATTTATAAAGGAAAAAAAAAAAACAAGAATTCATAATTCGTTTACAAAAACTTTTGCAAGCACAAAATATTTATTACCGCTTCCAGCTCCGGTGGGGCTATCGTACCATGTCGCCACCGCAGGTGAAAAACCACCCGCAAAAGTAGAATTAATTACAGTTTGGGAATCGATACAAATACAGTAATTAGTTTGGAGCAACAAAATAGCTATGGAAATAAAAAAAGTTAGAGATCGAATTAATTGATAGGTAAACATTGTGACTTTGAAAAATAGTATGGTGCTTTTGGTTAATGCCTTGGCTACACTTATATAGTGTTAACTATTTTTAATTGTTACCATATAATATTCAAATTATATATGGAAAATACATGAATTGAGTAGAGTTTGATAATAGATTATAATTAAAGATTTTGAAATGTAATAGATTCATCTTACATATATAATTTAATTGAGAAATATTCTGAATTTCAAGATAGAATTAGAATTAATTATCACAACTTTCTAAATCTTCGATACTACTTGCTATTTATTTGAGAAATAGAAGTAATCCGAAAACAATAGCTTATATTAAGCTTACTATATAAAGAATTAAGTTGCCATACATAATTTATTTGGGTAAATTTTGTATAGGCCCATCATTCTCAATTTCCTTGCGGATAGGTACAGAGAAAAATTATCTTTTGCCCAAATGTCAAGATAAAAATATATTTAACCTAATATTCCATTAATAACAAATATACCCTCAAAGTCTAATTTGACTCTAATTTCAGTCCTCAAATTCTAATATAATTTAAATTTCACCAGTTGACTTTTTTTTTTATCGTTGACTAAGGCTTACATTTGTTTCACCAATGTTGCCGTAACGACCAGTCGACGCAACAAGAACACGTTTTTTTCAGCAATATTACTAGTTTAACCGATCAACACAATAACATTAATATATTTTAATATACGTTTTTTTCCAAAAAAATTTACTATCGGCTATTTCATTTGGTTCAACAACATATATAATAGCAGTATTCAACATTAATTAATAGTTGTGATCAACAGTATAATAGCATAAAAATCCTTTTTTTTCTTAAAAAAATTGTTACATTGACCGGTCATCACATTAACATTGTCGGTCAACACACGCCGATTTGTATCTTTTTTTATTTTAACTGTTATTGTGTTATTGAACGGTCAAAGCAATAACATTTTCAATTAAAAAAAGGGCAAAGTTCACTTTGCACGCCTGAATTATGGGTTGCGTTGAATATACACCCCTAAATTCGAAACGTACTAAATACATTCCTATATTTTCTGATCAAACTTACAAAATATAAAGACATTAATTTTCTAATATATTATTGTGCAATTACAACTTTACCCCCAACTTTAGTGTATGGGAAATATATGTGAACTTTAGTACTTCAAAATGTTTTAGCCAAAATAAAAAACACAGTACCTGGATGGCTATGTAAGCAATTATTTAGCTTATTTTAATATTTTATTAACTTGAGCATATTTTTTAGGTTATAATCGAAAATTATTTTCTTGTAATTAAAATCCATTATAGAGACATGTTTACGGAGTTTATTATTTTTTTGTAATAAAAATCCGTTATAGAGACATGTTTACGGAGCTTGAATATATTGGGAGTTTGACTTACATGGAATGAGATGTTTACCCTGATTTAATGTCCTAATTTGAGATACATGGTTTAATTAAAGGATTAGCTATATATCCAATTGCTAATGTGGCTTAATTAGGATTGTTATATGAAATTGAGTTCAACTAGAGCTGGACATTTTATATATAGTAAAGTTAAGGGAAAAAAAGAAGAAAAAATGAACTAATTTCAAATGAAAAATTGAGGAAAAAAATGTTAAAAAATAAGACACGTATAACCTTAGAACGCATACAATAGGGGTTAAAAAGTCCTAAAAAAAGACAACAAGAAAGTCAAATAACTTAGGAGTACTAATGTCAATAGAGTTATTAAATCATGTGCTTTTGTACGAAACTAAACAATTAGATGTACCTAATTTAATTATATGTGGTTGTCAAAGACTCATAGCTCATTTCGCAACTTATTTTCACTAATAAAGAATGAACATGATTTTTTTCTGTTGTCACGCAGTATTTAGATATATTTTCAAGTTATATGGCAACATAATTATTTGCTTCCGTATAGTTCGCATATTATATAGGGTAGAGTTCATTTTGTACCATTTTACTGATGTCGCATATATCTTGTCCTAAACTTCACAATGTACCAGGCAGCGGTGAAATGAGAGAGTGCAGTGTTATTTAACCCGATATCAAACCTTTTTATTAACGCTTTTTAGGCCGAGCTCGACATACTCTGTTTGTGGTTTAAATCTTCGTTGTGAGAGCTATAGCACGAGGTATAGTTTATCCATATATCGAGTGGCTAGTGGTTCTCTTGTAAAAAAAATGGATGCAAAGAGTTCAATTGCATTGCCATTAAGATAAAACAACGTCCGGTTAATAAACACGCAATTAAACAACACAAGTTTTAAATCATTATCCACAAGTATATAAGTTGTGGATATACCTTTACAGACGAAAACTTTATTAAAACAATATTCAATGAATATAAAGAGAGAAGTAAAGATCTTCTCTTTTATGAATAAATCACAAGTTGATTTCTTCGTACAAGACTTTCTAGAATCGATGACAGTTTATACTTAACAAAACTCTAGGAGAGTACATACTAGTATTCTATGATCTTGAATACAAACAGACTCAATTTTGTAGTGAGAAAAACATAAACAAAACAAAGTGTTGTAGAAAGTGTTCCAACATCGTACGCTCCCTACTCCTCCACTCCCTTCATAAATCGGTAGTAAATGAACTGAAGACTTCTTCTATTATAGAATTTGAGAGCTCATTATCCTGCACGTGAACGAACACACTAGAAGAGATAATGAGTTAGTGAGTTATTGAGTTAATTAAAACATGCACAAGATAATTCCCCACTAAATTATAAATGACCGTCCAATAACTAACAATAATAAAACCAACTAATATAATAAATTATATTTTGACTTGATCTCATGGGTTGTTTGTAATTCACCGGTCATATATCATGGGTTGTTTGTAATATTTACTTATAATAATGTAAAATTTGACTATTTGATCTTAGTCCATGAACACCACTTAATTAGAGAGTTTAGACATAAAATATTCATTTTAGACTGAAAATAACTTATTGTCCTCCAACTCATTTCTTAAAATTACATTCACTCTAAAAAAAATGGCATTTCTTCAACTATTCCGCATTTTTCTACTAATCTCATGTCGTCGACCGCCTAATTTTTTGCCATATCATTGTAAAAAACTATTTTCATCTAAGATGTCTATTTTCAGTTCAAATTCTCTAACTAAGTTGTACATTTTCAGTTTAAATTATCTATTTCAGTCTATACTCTCCAGCTAAGTTGTCTATTTTCAGTCTATTTTCGTTGGAAGCTATCTAACTAATATTAGGTTTTAGTTTTAGGGGGTTATAATGTAATATTGCAAGAAAATGGGTTTTTTCTAATTCATACATATTTTTATGTGTCTTTTTTTATTTATAATGTTATATTTTTTAAAAAAAAAAAAAAAAAAAAAAAAAAAAAAAAAAAAAAAACCTTCTTTTATAATTTAGAGTTAATTTAGACATATTACAGTAATTTTTTTAAGGATTTTTGATTAGTTTGAGGGGAACAAATGTACATAACAATAGGTATTTTTCGTAATTTAACCTTATAATCTCACGAGTTGTTTCTAATTCACCTATAAAAACAAAGAACTATATATAAACTTCAGAATTATATATATGAATTGTATTTTAAAAACTTAAAGGCCAAATAAAATATATATCCAATTTGCGATTTTACATATAGTAAGTCTCTTTGCATAATTTATATGAATAAGAGTGTGGATAATCATTTTTTCTCCCCTTATTAGTCAAACAAAAAATTATATAAGGAAAGGAAGTGAGATAATATTTTTAGCCGATCGATTATATACTATAATGTATTATATTTATTTTAACAAAATAGTAAGTAAAATATACAAAAAAATAATTATATTATTATATTCTGAAAACACTTATTTTTTAAATGGCAAGCTGTTGGGTGCTAAATACCAACACGCAAGTGCACGTATCGCAAACAAGTAATAAAGTGGACTCGTGAGAGTCGGATGTCGATCCCACAGGGAATACGCAAATTACCTAATCCTAAGTACCAAATTCTAACAATTATGATTTTTATCCAGCCTACGCAAGTTTGTCAAATTAAATTAATTGAACAACTAAACTAATTAAGAAAGCAAATAACACGGGAAAATATCAATTAAAACGGACCTAGGATTTTATCTTCCCCCTATGCAAGAATTGCTCACCCAAAACCCCTCAATTATGAAATATATGATTCATGATTATTAACCCGAGACACTAATTTACTCATAACCCGCTGTCGCGTGTATTATGAGTCTATTATTCATAAACGATTCACTATATGTCTATGCAAACCAATTATGAATAAAGCATTAACTAACAAGTCTCGTAAATGGCTACCTAAGGTGATATCTGTATGTCTACGACACCACATGCAATTGACACACTCATCCGGTGAAAACTACTCGAAGGCTCTTCTA